TTTGAAAGACCGTAATGTCTATTGTGATGTCTTTTTGAAATGTGCATAATATTTCATATAATAAAACCCATAATAATTTCTACATTCAGTAAAGCTAGCCAGTATGCGTTCTTTACATCAACACTCTTGTGTCAAGTGAAAAGACTATTTAAACTTTTTTTTTTTTTATGGAGAGTGTTATTACAAATGGAATAAACCATGTTTTTTTATTATAACAATATAAAAATGTGCTTCAAAAAACATTTACACAGACTTTTTCACTGTGGATAAAGTCAGTTCCTCTCTTATTCACTCAGGTGTTCTACCAGAAAGTGTCAACATACTTTTTCTCTCTTTAAAATAAATGCTACACATTATGATATTTTTCTAATGCATTTGAATGGCATTCCTTTTTTTATGTGCCCAAAGACGTATTGGTGCCACTGTATCTACATCTGATTTATTTTCATGTGTTTTAGTGGGTTCAAAATGTTTCCATGTCATCAGGAGACAATGTAATCTTACTGATTAATGAACAATGGTCAGAAAATGCATATAACCGTGCACATTCAGTTTTATATCAGGTCAGAGAGGTTATCTGAGCAATGCTGGGAAAAGGTCAAAGGGCAAATCACACAACCAGGCTGAGAGTAACAGGCTGAGAGTTCATCAAGTTCACTGAATCTCTATCCATATCTGCCTATAAATGAACGAATTGTAATTTGCATTAGATGTATGTTAATTCATATGAGTAAATTACATATTTAAAACCCTGAATCTGTCTGACTGAATCTGAGATAATTTCTGTCTCTGATGATCTTACAGGTCATTCTGAAAGAACACATTTTTTCATGTGAACTAAACTTATAAATATCTCCTTCTCAGTTTTGTATGTAGGTAGCAGTGAACATTGCATAGGGACCCTGTGAAACAGAACACGTCATAGATTTTTTTGTTTTGTTGTTGTTGTTTTTTTTCATTTGTTCATTTGACTTTGTCAACTATTTAGGATACTAGGCTGCAGGTTTGCCTGTGTTGAATTTAAACAACAACAGAATCTGCTGAAGAGTACCTGCAGATGCCTGGCAAATCACAGGGCAAATTGTACAACTAGTTGATAAAAAGATCAAAAATAGTCCAAAGGACAAAAGGTCAGTTAGTAAACAATCAATAACAAAACAAAGAAAAATTAAATAAAGAAATAAAATAAAATAAAAATAGCTAGAAAGCACAGCTTTTGCAGACAAATAAGCAGCATCACATGTTGTTGATGTTTTTGTTTATTATTTGTGTGTGTGTGTGTGTGTGAGAACGAGAGAGAAAAAAAACAATAAAACTGTTACAGATACTTGATTTTACATATTTATTTTCAGTGTAAGAAATAATTAGGTGTGAGAAATCATTGCTGCATAATTACTTTTTGTTGTTGGGTTTTCCAAATAAATGTGTAATAAATAATAAAAACTCACATTGTGAGTACAGATGATGGGACGCATGACAGCAATGTTTATAAAGTCTGATTTAGAGTGATTGATTCAGTCTGAGATATTAATTTTCAGTGTTTGCATTGTGGGCAAATACTACATTCATTTATTTTTAGGTTTTTACTTTTTAAAATGTGTTGCATAAATTATTATTGCGTGAGTATTTTTATGTCCCATTTACTGGCGCATTGTGCTGCATATAAATGCACAAAGATGAAGATGAGTGTTTCAAACATCTTTAATCCAACACACAGGCAATCCAAACACAGGGTAGATAGAGCACAAAATAGAAGTAACATTGACGAGACCGGTAAACTAAAACTGAACACACAGGAACTTAAATACACAGGCTAATGAGGAGATGCAGCTGAAAATCAAATCAGCAACCATAAGTAACAAATACAGTCAGGGGAAAGTTGCAAATGTAAACAAAGTCCAAACTGAACTGAAACCATGGCTCCAGACAGCTCTGAATTTACGTGCATGTCTCTTTAAATGCAAATGAGCTGATGCTCCCCGCCCCTTTTCCAGAATAGGGCTGTACGTTTACAGCTGGTATCTCAGATACTCTGCTAAAAAAACATGTGTTTGATTTTGATTATCATGTCTATCATGCTAAAATTTTAAACCATTTTAGTTTAAACTTCTGATATACGGTTTTCTGAGCGCACACATCCGAAGCACACGGACAGAAAGCAGCTGTCACTCGGCATCTGAGTACTAAACTTCTCTTTCATGTCTTATTGCGCTTTAACTGTCAAATACACACAAGTTTATATTAAAAACACACATGAGCTACAAAAACGGTAGTTTATGTCTGTGAAGGTAAACAGCTGGGAAAGAAATGGCATGTTTATATTAGATCTGTGTGGCAGCAGCGTAACATACAGTAAATAAATCAATAAATCCACTGCTCTCTTGTCTCCTCTGAGGCTGGGACTCTAAATAGTGTTCTGAGCTCGTCTGTGCAGCCAAAGACAGAACAGTCAGCATGCTTTGCTCAAACATTCACCATGGCGTTAGAACTGGTACACTGCTGTCGCTTGCGAAAACATAATGGTGGCACTATGTGTGGAAACCTGCAGAAGGGACGGTAATGTTATAATAAGATCCCCTTTCTACATCACAGGGGGAGTGAAATCTGATGCGCTCGTTTTTTTCACAAGCTTGCAGAGAAAGGCTTACCAAAAAAAATGTACTGTGTTAATGTTTTTCACGTTTCCTGGGTTGGTAGATGCACCGGAAACCCGATTATAGCACTTAAACATGGGAAAAAAATCAGATTTTCATAATGTCACCTTTAAACGTGGCTTCTGTTTTAGCATATCTGATCTCTTCTGTAAAACTGGTTCCAACTGCGGATGGCATAATAGAAAAAGCAGACTCCCCTTGTTTTGAGTGAACCCTTGGCATTTCTAACTGACTTGATCCTAATGATCTGAGTGGTCTGATGCGCATATTTGCAAGGTATTGAGGTCCTAGTCCATTGAGTGATTTATAAACAAATAATAATACTTTCAAATCAATCCTAAATGAAACTGGAAGCCAGCGAAAGGGTACTGAGGACTGGTGTGATGTGCTCAGATTTTCTGGTTCTAGTCAGAATCCTGGAAGCAGTCTGCGGATGGCATAATAGAAAAAGCAGACTCCCCTTGTTTTGAGTGAACCCTTGGCATTTCTAACTGACTTGATCCTAATGATCTGAGTGGTCTGATGCGCATATTTGCAAGGTATTGAGGTCCTAGTCCATTGAGTGATTTATAAACAAATAATAATACTTTCAAATCAATCCTAAATGAAACTGGAAGCCAGCGAAAGGGTACTGAGGACTGGTGTGATGTGCTCAGATTTTCTGGTTCTAGTCAGAATCCTGGAAGCAGTGTTCTGGATGAGCTTCAGCTGTCTAATGGTCTTCTTGGGAAGGCCTGTGAGGCGCCCATTACAATAGTCAACTCTGCTGGTGATAAAAGCATGAACGAGTTTCTCCAAGACTTGACTGAAAACAAAACATCTAATTATTGCAGTGTTTTTGACATGATAATATGCTGATTTTTAGTTATTGCTTTGACATGACAACTGAAACTAAGGTCTGACTCCACCAAGATTCTTGACTTGAATTTTTGTTGTTTAACCTCTAGAGTCAAGGTATACATTCACCTTGAGAACTTCATCTTTATTTCCAAATGCAATGACTTCAGTTTTCTCTTTGTTTAACTGATGAAAGTTTTGTTAATTTCATCAATGCACTGGCAGAGGTAATCAATGGGGCTGTATTCTTTTGGTGTTAATCTGGGTGTCAACTGCATAGCCACGATAGGCAATTTGGTTGCTTCTCATTGTTCTTTAAGTCATGCAAGTTGCAATGTGAGGCCTCCAAGTATCAGATTTGTTGGTCCAGCACGATGCTCAATCGTATTGAGATCTGGGAATTTGGAAGTCATTTGGAAGTGCCTTATCTTGTTGAAAGAGGCCACTGCCATCAGTGAACACCATTGCCATGAAGAGATGTTCATGGTCTGCAGTAATCTTTAGGTTGGTGGTACATGTCAAAGTAGCATCCACATGAATGTCAGCACCCAACGTTTTCAGCAGAACATTGTCCAGAGCAAAACACTGCCTCCGTCTGCCTTCTTCCCATAGTGCATCCTGCTGCCATCCTTTCCCCATGAAATGACACACACATCTGGGATCCAACTGATCTAAAAAAAAAAATGGTTCATTAGACAAAGCAACCTTCTTCCATTGCTCCATGGTCCAGTTCTGTCACTCACATGGCCATTGCAGATGCTTTCAATGGTGGACAGAGGTCATCATGGCCACTCTGACTGGTCTGTGGCAACGCAGCCCCATATTGTGATGCACTGTGTGTTCTGACAGCTTTCTATTATGGCCAACATTAAGTTTTTCAGCAATCTGAGCTATAGTAGCTCACCTGTGTGATCGGACCAGACAGCCTAGCCTTTGCTCCCCATGTGCATCAATGAGCCTTGGATGCCCATGATATTGGATCACCAGTTCTTCTTCCTTGTATCACTTTTAATAGGTATTACCCACTGCAAAAGTCATTCAGATCTTTTCACTTGCTAATTTTTCCTGCTTCCAACACTGACTGTTCACTTGCTGCCTAATATACAGTATCACACCCCTTGTTAGATGCCACTGTAATAATATAATCAATGTTATTCATCTGTCAGTGGTGCCAGTGGATGATCAGTGTATACTATGGTACAGAATACCATATCCATAACATGGTATTTTACATTGCCCACAGTATATTTTGAAAAAGGAAAGGAAAAAAACATGTTAGTACTATAATACAATGTCCAAACATAGTAGTACCATGGCAATTTTTTGTACATTAAGTACCATTTCCAACATGCCAGTGTTTGAATTGTCCACTAGGTGTCATCCACTCACCACATAAAAGCATTTACTGTTATTGAGCATTAAAGTATGAAATTCTCGTTGTAAGGGATTAACTAGCACGCAAGACGATAAAAAGGTTTCTGTCATTTAAAGTGTAAATCACATGTGTGTCTGAGTCATATGTTGAAGAGGCCCATGAAGGTGGCATGAGCTGTCAGAATGAGCTCTGCAGATTTGCGGGGAACATAGAGCTGAAGAGTGGATCCAGACTCCAGGAAGTAAATTCCTATGAGAGGAACACATACTTTATAATCAGACAGATATTTAGATTATACTGCAAATATTGCAAAATGATCCAGATTTTTGTATGATCAAAAAACCTCTACAGCAGATGGTAAGGTCCAAACAGAGATCTGATCTTATCAGTTAACTAAAGGAGACTAAACCTAAACTCATCATCTGTGTGCAATGTTGTTGATTTCTAAATAAAATGCTTTAATTGTGAAGCTTAATACAAGACACCGCAGGTCAACAGGGTAAAAACTACTAGAATTTTTTTATTAATTTTCTCAAATATTTAAATATGCAAACAAGATATCGTCTAATTAAATATGTACTAATTTGCATACATTTCCAGAACAGAAATCTGAACATTGAATAAAGCCATATCCAAAATACTTGTTTCAATTTGTTGAGATTTTAAAGGTAAATGTTTTTGTCTATTTATAACCCCATGTTTCCAGGTAAACAATGTTATATTAAGCAGATGAATGATACATGAACAAAGCCCTCTGTAAAAACCTTCAAAATATAGATAGGACTAAAACTGTGAAGTTTTATGTATGTAAGTGCTGAAAAACAAACTAATTTTGAGAAAATGCCTTTAAGGATATGTAGTATAATTGAAATCTACAGACAGAAATAGATTAACTGTGAATAAATAAATAAACAAACACTTACATGTGTATTTTGGATGTTTTCAAAAAGACAGAATCTCAAAATTGAAAAAAATAGTGGTTTTGCCTGTAGCGTTGCTTGGAGTGTCCTTTTTTTTCTGTGATATCTTACAGTCGGCTGGGTCATTCTAAGAAAATTGTGTCATTTGTGGCCCATTTGTATCCCTATTACATATATACAGTATATGATAACAAATAGTAATAATAAAACACTGAATTTAGTCACATTATTTGAAAAGTTTAATTATGTTCAGTGTGTTTTAAAAAGAACACTTTTTTGTGTGATTTTTTTTTTGTTTGTTATTAGTTATTATTAATATTTAGGGCTGTCACTAATGATTATTTTGGTAATCGAGTAATTACTCTGACGATTAATCAAGTAATCAGAAAATCACTTGTGGTAATAAAAATAGACCTAAGTAAATAATAGACTTTAAAATGACTTAAAAATTTATATAATAGCAATGAGGCAATAATAATTGGTTCAAATAAAATATCAAAAGCAAGTAATCATAGGGTTTTACTGAACAAAACAGTTTAAATACATAATGTAATAAAACAATATAATCATAACTTAAGTACATTATGTATTATATAAAATTCCCACAGAGGGTACCAATGGCTTGATTGTTTTTATACAGTGTGATCTAATCCTTGTTTAATATTGACTAAATAACATTTAATTCAAATGTCCACTTAATCTTTAACATTTGGCCACTTCTTTGTCACGAATCCGGTCCATGGACTTCTGTCCAATTGCCACCAGAGGTCACCCTTCTGTTACATTGACTCTCACACTACACAAACTGTTGCATGTCATCCTGGACTACATATCCCAGCATCCACTGCACTGATTACACACACAGCTGCTGCCAATCACACACCCTACATAAGCCATGGGCTTCCTCTCTCTCACTGCCGAGTATTGTTTGCGCATTTCACTCAGTTAGTGATCGCAACATTACGGAGCCCTTTTCCTAGTCTTGTATTTGTTTCTAGTTCTAGTCTAGTCTAGCCTCATTGTGTTATTTGATTGCCTGATTCTCTGCCTGCCTTGGATTTCTCTCGCCTTATCGTTTGGACTCGGTTTGCCCATTTACTGGACTATCGCCTGTTTGTGGATTACCCGTTTGCCTTGCCCTCTGGATTACGTTCGCCGATCAAAGACCCTCGCCTGCCCTAGGAATACTCTTTGCCTTGCCTGTGATGTACCTGTGTTGTTGTCTGACCCTTGCCCGTTCTTTTACCACGCCTTTGTAATAAAGCCTTGCACATGGATCCGCACTTCTCATGTTCTGATTACTCCGTAACAGAATATTCGGCCAGACAAGGATCCAGCAGCTTCACCAAGGAACATTGGCCAGGTATGAATGCAGCGATTTTGCTACTAGCACTCAAGCAGGGCCCACGATCACTCGAGGGATACATTGTGGAATATTTGGCTTTGGCAAATGGCTCAGAATTACCGGACTGTATGTTAATAGACTTTTCCTGTGATGGTCTTAACCAGCCTTTAAAGTCAAGAGTGATTCAGGAGGGTCCTCGTTCGTCACTCGTTCAATTTATGGATTATGCTTTGTTGACTGTTGGTTCCTCGTTCATTGTGGGTGTCGCGGAGGAACCTGAGTCAAGTCAAGTCACAGCTGATCTTCATGAGTCTAGTCAAGTCACGGTTGATCTTCATGAGTCTAGTCAAGTCACGGTTGATCTTCATGAATCAAGTCATGTCACGGTGGATCTTCATGAGTCAAGTCAAGTCACAGCTGATCGTCATGAGTCAAGTCAAGTCACAGCTGATCTTCCTGAGTCAAGTCAAGTCACAGCTGATCTTCCTGAGT